TGTAATTAATATATTTCTATGTGACAATTATCTATGTGATTATATGTCTATGTGATATAAGCTATGTGAAATGTTATAAATGATAAAGCCAAAAAGTATGTGATATGAGAGCTAAATGTATAATTGGCATGCCAAGAATCGAGGGTTCTACGCGGTCCTTCGAGACAATTCCACATGGTCCTTCGGGACATTTCTACGCGGTCATTCGGGATATTTCTATGTGGCACTTCGGTGCATATTCTACGCGACACTTCGATGTAATTTATACGAGTTGTGGTGTCAGCATTAGTGCACAACCTCAATGCACTCACATACCTTATGTTCCCAATGATGTATCATGGGCTATTAAAAGAAATTATATAAATGAACAATGTATGATAATGATGATGATATATATATATATATATACATGTATGATTTTATTTTATGATGTGTTCTATGGTTTCTTTATTTGAATTTATAAAATGATTAGAATATTATTAAGTGTTTTAATGTTTTATTATTCACTTTATATGCCTCACTAAGTCAATGACTTAGTGTGTGAGTGTTTCACACGTAGGTACAAAGAAGCATGAAGATCAAAGTTAGAATTAGTCAATACATCATATCTCTGCAAGAAGATCATATAAGAAACAATTTACACATTATATGATTTTGTTATACTAAATGTGTTAGCATGTAATTAGATGTTTAAATCGTATATGCTTTGATCCAATTTTGTAAAAATACGTTATTGTATTTATGTAAATTATTAAGTTTTATTTTCAATTTGAGTTTGAATTTTGTTAATAATTTTTATTTAAGGGTTCCACCAATTTAATATAAACAAAAGTTTTAGATTTTCAACAAAATTTTTAAAGTAAATGCTTTGAAAAGTCAATGTGACACCTCAGATTCATATCCGGTTCGGATACGGGTTAGGGGTGTTACATTTAATGATATCAGAGCTATGGTTTAGCCGATTCTAGGCATAAACTGAAGTCAAATGTGTTTTCAAAAGGATACATGTCAACCAAAAAGTGAAATTTTTTTGATCTAACAAGTAATGAGTATGTTGTCTTGCTAATAGAGTTAAGTGGTTATGTTTTATTAGATGTCTGATCACAAGAGTTCCGAAGTGAAGTCGGAGATGAAAAACATGAAGGTAGTAGTAATTCACCTGCCCTAGCCAGCAAGGTGAAGAACAGGCACCACATGGAGTGCCTGTACAAAATTAGGATGTGTTTTTCAGGACGTTGGATGCTATTCTGATGTGTTTCCAACCACCTACTCCATCAACTCCTAGAATGAATATAGCAAAAGAGTTGAAAGGATTAAGAGCTCCTGAATTCAAGGGTGATGCTGAGGAAGGTCCTGTTGTTGTGGACCTTTGGTTAAATGATATTAAGATCATGTTGGAGGGTCTCCACTGTTCTAAAGTGGAGAAGTTAGATGGAGTGGTCTCTTTGCTACGAGGGCAAGCTCGTGTATGGTGGACTAATGTCACCATGAGAATGTCAAGTGACCAAGTGACATGGTCTTTGTTCTTAGAAGAGTTCAAAGAACAAGTATATCGGGGATTACTTTATTAAGCAAAGGAAACAAAATTTTATAAGCTTGAAGTAGGGGAATCAAACCGTGTATGTATATGAGTGTGAATTCAATAAGCTAAGTAAATTTGTTGCCGAACTGGTTCCGATTAAAAAAGATGCCTACGATTGGTTTGTTGAGGGCTTACGCCCCAGATTGAAAGAATTATTGATAGTTTTAAATATGTCCTCGTTCCAAGAAGTGACCAATTGTGCTAAAGCTCTAGAGAGAGCTTAGAATGAAGGTTTAAAGAGCAAAAATCTCAGATGTCGAAAAGAGTTGGTGCTTTGTCTAGCTTAGCACCATCAAAGAGAGGCAGAGATTCCGGTTTTCGATCTCATACGAGATCTGAGTCAGTTGCATCCTCTACCAGAGGATCAAATCCGATGAAAGCTATACTGAGTCAATCAGTAGGGTTTGGAGCTGGAAGATTAAATCCAGGTCAATCGAGACAGTGTTAGCATTGTGGAAAAAATCATACCAGAGTATGTCGGGTAGTCTCCGGAGCTTGTTTTAGATGTGGGGACACCAGACATTTTATCCGGAATTATCCAATGATGATTGGAGAGTCTATACAATCTGAGTGATCTGTTTAGGTATCTCAGAGAGGTAGATAAAGAGGTAGAGGAAGGAATCAGTCTGAGTAATCCACTCAACATGAAATGCGTTCAACTGATCAGGTTTACAACGTAAAGACTAATGAAGATCGCGATGATCCAGAGATCATTGCATGTACTTTTCAATTATTTGATAAGTTTGTTTTAGTTTTGATTAATATGGGATCAACTTATTCATAGATTAGTAGCAAATTGAGAATCCAATTGGAAGCAACAAGTAACAATGTAATAGTGACTAACTCATTAAGGCATAATGATCGGGTAAATCAAGTGTGTCGAGGGTGTCCCATAAGGATTTAGGGAATTGAATTCCCTATTTAATCTGATGGAATTACCCTTTGACTTATTTGAAGTAATTTTGGGAATGGTCTGGTTGTAACATTATCATGTTAATGTTGATTGTAGACTGAAGAGAGTAATTTCGATAAGTCTCGAGGGATTAGAAGTGATTGTGACCAGTGAAAAATTTAATTCGTTAGCTAATGTTATATCGGTGATGTCGGCTAAGAAGTTATTGTTACAAGGATACCAAGCTTTCATTACTAATGTGATAGATACTCAATTAAGGAGAGAAGATTGGAGGATATTCCAATGGTTCGAGAATTTCCAGATGTTTTTCCGACTGAGTTTCCAGGATTACCTCCAGATAGAGAGGTCGAGTTTCAAATAGAGGTAATGCTTGGAATAAAACGTATTGCTATGACTCCTCCACCGAATGACCCCAAAGGAACTGAGTTAGCTAAAGACTCAGTTGCAGGAATTATTGGATAAAGGATTTAACAGGCCTAGTGTGTCACCTTGGGGAGCTCTAGTGTTGTTTGTAAAAAAGAAAGATGGTTCGATGCGTCTCTACATTGATTATTGACAACTCAACAAAGGTGACAATAAAGAACAAATATCCTCTCCCCAAAATTGATGATTTGTTTGATCAGTTAAATAGAGCTTCGGTATTCTCCAAGATCAATTTACGTTATGGATATCATCAACTGAAGATTCAAGAAAGAGATGTTCCAAAGATGACTTTTAGAACGAGATACGGTCATTATGAATTCATCGTTATGCCGTTTGGGTTGACTAATGCACCTGTTGCATTTATGGATCTAATGAATAGAGTGTTGCAACCCTATCTTGATCAGTTCATAGTTGTCTTCATCGACGATATTCTGGTGTATTCAAAGTCTAATAAAGAACATGACGGACATCTTAGAGTCATTCTACAAACTCTACGAGATAAGAAGCTATATGTTAAACTGTCTAAGTGTGAGTTTTAGTTAATTGAAGTGACATTTCTTAGCCATGTAGTATCTGCAGATGGAATTTAGGTAGATCCTCAGAAGATAAAAGCCATATTAGACTGGGAAATTCCAAAGAATGTGTTAGAAGTTTAGAGTTTACTAAGTCTTGCAGGTTATTATCGAAGGTTCATTAAAAACTTTTTGATGATAGTTTTGCCTTTGACCAAGTTGCTGAGGAAAAATGTATCTTTTGCTTGGACGCTTGAATATCAAGAGAGTTTTGAAGCGTTAAAGATAATTTTGACAGAAGCTCCAGTATTGGTCCAACCCAAATCTGGCAAGAACTATGTGGTTTACAGTGAAGCGTCTCATAATGGCTTAGGATGTGTATTGATGCAAGAAGGTAAAGTAGTGGCATATGCATTGAGGCAATTGAAAGAGCATGAGAAGAACTATCCAAAACATGATTTGGAGTTGGTTGCAATAGTGTTCGCTCTGAATATATGATATTACTACTTATATGGTGATCATTGCTACCTTAATACGGATCATAAGAGCTTGAAGTATCTAATGACTCAGAAAGAATTAAATTTAAGACAGCGAAGGTGGATTAAGATTCTCAAAGATTATGATATAGTCATTGATTTTCATCCCGATAAAGAAAATGTGGTAGCTGATACTCTAAGTCGGAAGATATTCTCAACTTTACGATCTTTAGATGCGAGGTTGTCATTAAATAGAGATGGTGCATTAAAAGTTTAAGCCAGCGTTGCTGGATCGAATCAAAAACTTAAAAAGTGAATATGATAAATGTTTGAAAATGATGGAGCAAGTGGAAAATGAATGAAATAAGGATTTTTGAGGTTAAGCTCGATGGAAATTTTTTATTATCGTGGGAGGCTTGTAATTCTGGATAGTGAGGAATTGAAGAACGATTTATTGAAAGAAACTCATTATAGTCTGTTGACTATGCACCTAGGTGGAAACAAGATGTATATGGATCTTAAAAGTTGTTATTAGTGGTCAGGAATGAAAAGAAGCATTACGGAATTTGTGTCCAAGTGTTTGACGTGTCAGCAAATCAAAGCTGAGCATAAAGTTACTTCAGGATTGTTGCAACCAATCTCCATTCCTCAGTGGAAATGGGAGAATACGATGATGGATTTTGTAACGGGGTTACCTTTGACTCATAATAAAAGATATTCAATATAGGTGATAGTTGTCTGATTGACTAAGTCATCACATTTCATTCCAATCCGAGTTGATTTTTCTATGGACAAGTTTGCTGAGATGTATATAAAAGAAATTTTTCGATTGCATGGTGTGCCTGCTTTGATAGTTTCTGACTGAGATCCACGATTCACATTCACATCAAGATTTTGAAAGACTTTATATTGAGCTTTAGGGACTCGATTGAATTTTAGCACAACTTTTCACCCTTAGACAGATGGCCAAGCAGACTATCCAAATCTTGGAAGACATGGTAAGAGCATGTGTTATCGAGTTCAAGGGATCTTGGGAGAAGTATTTGCCACTTGCAGAGTTTTCTTATAACAATAGTTATTAGTCGAGCATTAAGATGGCTCCCTATGATGCTTTATACGGGAGGAAGTGTCTTACACCATTAAATTGGTACGAACTCAAGGATCGGGATGTTCTTGGTCTTAACTTGATCAAGGAAGTAGAGGAGAAAATTCAAGTGATTCATCATAATCTCAAAGTGGCATTCGATAGACATAAGTCATATGCCGATCTAAAAAGAAAATAGATTGAGCTTTAAGTTGGAGATAAAGTATTTCTGAAAGTATCTCCTTGGAAGAAGGTGTTACGTTTTGGACGAAAAGGAAAAATTAGCCCCAGATTTATTGGTCCGTATGAGATTGTTAAGAGAGTGGGACCAGTGACATATCAGTTGGCTTTCCCACCAGAACTGGAGAAGATTCATGATGTTTTCCATGTTTCTATGCTTAGAAGATATCGATTTAATCCTTCTTATATCGTTGCACCAGAAGAGATAGAAGTTCAACCTGACTTAACTTGTGAGGAAGAACCGGTGCAAATCTTGGCATGTGAAGTTAAACAGCTCAGAAATCAGACGATTCCATTAGTCAAGGTTTTGTGGAGGAATCACAAAGTAGAGGAAGCAATATGGGAATGTTAAGATGATATGCGTAGACAATTTCCCTATCTCTTTGTGTAGTGAAAATTCGAGGATGAGTTTTCTTAAGGGGGAGATTTGTAACATCCCAAAAATTGGGCTAGTGACTAAAGTGTAATATTTTAAAACTTTGTGGTTAATTTTGATAAATTGAAAAGTTTAGGGATTTAATTAGAAATTATTGGTGTAGGTTGATTAGCAAGAATTGAAAGATGGAAGGGCATAATGGTCATTAGAAAATAAAATGAATTAAAACTTCAGTATTGTTGTTTTAAATACACGTGGAACAAGGGAAGAAAGAGTAAAAAGAATCCAGAAATTTCTATTTCTTTCTTTATCCTTGCTTCATACTCTCCACCGTGACTCCAAAGCTAAGGTGAGAAATCTTTCAGTTGGTTATTTCTTGTAATTTATGATTGGTTTTGGTTATTAGAGTGTTAGGGAAGCTTGAGAAAGCTTAAAGAGAAGTAGAAACTAAAAGATGAATAAATTATGGGTGATTAAGTGAAGGGGGTTTTTGAGTGAATTGAAAAGAAAGAGTTATTAAATGGATTTTTAAGTCATATTTGACTTATCATCATCCATAATAAGAGGTTCAAGAGGTTAAAAAGGATTAATAACAAAGTTAAATAATTGGGATGATTTTTAATTTCAAGTGCTTATGTGGGATTTTGGATGTTTAAGTGTGTTAAAGTGAGATAAGTTAGTTTTAATAAGTTTATTGGAGTTTAAAGTCCTGAAAGAAGTTAAAAGTGAGGATTTTAGCTAAGTTTTGGTCAATTTTCGAATTGAATAAGTAAATTCTGGGCAAGGCTAGATGAATAATACAGATACTCCAAAGCAAAAATGGGTGAAATTTTGGTTTGAGTATCGATACTAGAAGAACAATATTGATATCATAAGGTAAAAGTTGATGAATCCTTAAAACAGTATCGATACCAAAGGAGTAGCATTGATACCAAGGGTATCGATACTAATGGACAAGTATCAGTACCATTTTTAGAATTCGAATTCTATAATGTCGATTGGGTATCGATACTGAAGTATAATATCGATACCATAGTGAGGAAGTATCGGTACTGTGCTTAGGGTACCGATACTATTCAGAATGAAATTGTGAATTAAGTTTTTTTTACTTAAGTTATTGATGATCGATTAATAGTGATTCGAATTTCGATATTCATATTGATCGTATATTTTTTTAGATATCGAAAGAAAGCAAGTTTCAGACAAATCGACGATATAAGATTGACCAAGAGATAGATAAAAGTTTTGTTTTTACTAATTGAGGCTAAGTTGAGTGCATATTATTATATATATTGTCTTATGGAAAAAAGACTTGCGATGAGTCTATTTTCAATGTTTTGATTACATGTTACATGAATATAATCATAGTTTTGATTCTGTTATTATGTGAACATGCATTGTTTATATTTTATGCTATATGATATTGACCTATGTGATTACATGAAAATGATATAAAAGCTATGTGGCATTGACCTATGTGATTACATGAAAATATGATATAAGCTATATGACAATGATCTATGTGATTATATGTCTATGTGATATAAGCTATGTGAAATGTTATAAATGATAAAGCCCAAAAGTATGTGATATGAGAGCTAAAGGCATAATTGGCATGCTAAGAGTCGAGGGTTCTACGCGGCCCTTAGGGACAATTCTATATGGTCATTCGTGGTCTTTCGGGACATATCTATGTGGTCATTCGACACATTTCTATGTGGCACTTCGGTGCAATTATACGAGCTGTGGTGACAACATTAGTGCACAACCTCAATGCACTCATATACCTTAAGTTCTCAATGATGTATCATGGGTTATTAAAAGGATATATATATATATATATATATAAACATACATGTATGCTTTTGTTATATGATGTGTTATATGGTTTCTTTATATGATTTTATGAAATGCTTAGAATATGATAAAGTGTTTTAATGCTTTATTATACACTTTATATGCCTCACTAAGTCAACGACTTAGCGTGTGTGTTTTTCACACATAGGTACAAAGAAGCAGGAAGATCAAAGCTAGAATAAGCAATACATCTTATCTCTGCAAGAAAATCATATCAGAAACGATTTACACAGTATGTGATTTTGTTGCACTAAATGTGTTGGCATGTAATTAGATGTTTAAATCGTATATGATCTGATCCGATTTTGTAAAAATACTTGATTGTATTTATGTAAATGATTAAGTTTTATTTTCAATTTGAGTTTGAATTTCGTTAATAATTTTTATTTAAAGGTTCCACCATTTTAATATAAAAAAGTTTTAGATTTCCAACAAATTTTTAAAAGTAAATGCTTTGAAAAGTCAATGTGACACCTTGGATTCGTATCCGGTTCGGATACGGTTAGGGGTGTTACATAATCTGATAAACTAATGATTCACATTTTAAATTCCTAATATGTTTGAAAAGTCATTGATAATCAAATCTTAACATCCGAGAAGGTACAAGACCTAAAATTAATGATTTGTCAACAAATACCTAATGGCTAAAACATCAAAACTACTATTTATGTTTGAATTGTTCATGAAAATTGAATTAAATGAAAAGACCAGACTTAAGGAAACGACTGAAATACCCATGAACCGTAAATGAACAAAATACCCTTGAAGTGTAAAATGACCCAAAGTACCTCCAAGCCCTGGAATGACTAAATACCCTCAAGCTCTGAAATGAATAAATCAACCTCAAATACCAAAATAACATAAATACCCTCATGACTTGGACTGAGCAAATGTCTTGGATAAATTCTGAAGATATCGATGAAGTTTTAAATGCGGTAACACCCTTGAGGTTTTTAGAGTATGACCTAAGTAGGTCGATCAGCCCTAATATTATTACGATATAATAAGTAAATAAATACTACATAAATACCCATTCATATCCTCATGATCTGTCCAAAGATGGTTCTGAAGTTATCAGTTTGATTATGCAGTGCAACCAGTTTTAAGAAATAAATATTCGTTAAGTTTCTTTACGTGCATAATTGATAAGTATTGCATTTGTTGGGATTTGTATAATGCGATTGGAATTATAAACCTGTTAAGATGTTTGAAATCTGGAATTCTATAAATCCCTGCTTACCATTATTAAACTGGTTTATCAAATCTCTCAGGAATCAAATGATTATAATGCCCTTGTGATTCTGATTGACGGAATCGCCCCTGGAATATTCGAATCTTAAGTACTTCTAATACAACAATTATTAAATACCCTTTCGATACATCCAAACACTAAATGGTCCTGATGTACCGCTTTATGAATGACTGATTAGTATGTTATATATCGAACCCTTTGTAATAGGGATCTCATTTTTAAAATTTTATCAAATTACAAAAGTTTTATGGTTCCCTACCTGATAAATACCAAATATCTTCGGAGAATAATTGGATTCTCTAGTGTGTTCCTTATGTGTTATATGATTATTTTATATGTCCTGAAATGTGATTTACTGAAGTTATTGTTTTACTGAATTTTTTAACTGTTCAATATTCTTATTTTCTATTTATGAACTATAGCTACCTGATATGTGCTCTATGGTTACATGTTTTCACTGGAAAATATAATCATTCCTGATTTATGGATCATGGAATCTATTGGTTACTATTTGAACTGTTTTATTGGGACACTATCTGGGTAGGTTGGAGTATGAAGGTTCAACTCTAATCAAGCTGGAAATTCCTTACAGATGGACGTATTCCTTGGGTAGACTCTAAGGCCCCAAGCACTCCCTTAGTATGAGACTGTATTTTGGTGTACAGATGGAGGGCATTCATGTTATTTAAATAACTACATTGTCATTTTACAACATTCTACTTGATCATAATTTTTGATATTAAAGTTACTGCTCAATCTGATTTCTATTGGATATTGTATGGGTATGAGTCTGGAGTACGGAGGTTCATCTCTGATCAAGCTGGTAAATCCTTACGGACCTAAGGAGACCCTTGAGTAGGTCCCTAGGCCCCAAGGTACTCCCTTAGGGTGGCTCATTTGTTGTGTGCTTAGGGTAAGTCCTTTTGGATGCAGTTATGGGAAAACTGCATATCAGTGTCCTGTTGGAGGGTATTATTGTGGTTTTAAAATATGTTTTAAACTACTAATGTTTTCAAATGATCTATCTTTGTTTTGTTGGAACACACTAAACTTCCAATTTAAACTTCTAAATATATCTCTCTGAATATTTCCTTAGGACCGCAAATTCATGTCTGTAACTGAAGACTTAACTAATTGAATCTGAAATCACAGATAGAATCTAATGATGTTTGTTCCACTAAGGTATGCTTTACCATATACCTGATGACCTATTGCATTCATCTGGTAGTTATGTATTACTGAGCTTTCCAAAGCTCACTCTATTACTTACTATTTTAAGTTAAAGAGTTTGATCTTGTGCTTGTATCGACATCAGTAAAGGAGCCCCACTGACATTGCTTGCGGAGTACGGTGCATGTAATTAGGGGGCATGTAAGTTGAATTCTATTTTTAATATATAAATGATTTTCTGAACTTGTATTTTATTTATAAATTGTTTTATAATTTTACACGTTTTAACAAAAAAATTTAAATTTTCTTGGATTGTAATTGTGGCTCTCTCCGGTGGCCCTAGTATGACACCTTGGATCGGATCGGTTCACCCGCATTGGTCTGAGGGTGTTACAAAAATCATTTATTTATTTTTTTGTACCTTTTTAACTATTACATATGGATTAATGTGATTTTTTAATCTCACTTTTACAATTAAAATACTCAATCATTAGTATAATAAATAATCACAATTTTTAACTCTAGTTATCTAATTAATTTATATTTGTAGAAGAAGAATGGTAGGATCATATTATTATTAAATAATTTGAGTTTGTTTAAATTGCAATGTAAATACAGTGAGATTATCTAAATTTAATTATAAATATATAAATATAAAATTAGAATCGGACCTTGTTCATGCTTAAGAAAATAAAAT